TGTTTCAACATTTTTCAGTCTAATATCGACAACGAAGGACCAAATTATACACTTATTTGTTTGATACGGAATTTGTTTCAACATTTTTCAGTTTAATATCGATAATGAAGGATGAAATTATACACTTGTTTGTTTGTTATGGAATTTGTTTCAACATTTTTCAGTCTAATATCGACAACGAAGGACCAAATTATACTCTAACATCGAAATACATTGTTACAGCATTGTTAGTAAAATTTTATTCTACGCCAGCACGAAGAATGTGTTGATTCATAGGGCTAATGAACAAGAGAAATTTTTGTTCGTGCTTAATTGCCTAAAACAAAACAAGATCCAGGCAAATATTGACCTTCCCAGCGGAATATAATTACAATTTCTTTTGATTGAAAGGATTTACCGTCCAGACACCTTCCCACCTACATCGCTTCAATTTCCGGTACCTCGCAGTAACGTCGTTAACTAATGCGGAAGCAATTTCTTTTAACGCCGTGCTCTTCTACACTCTAACGATCTTTGGTCGAAAATACCGGCGAAATGGCGGAAGAATTGTTTAATTAATGTCTTAATTAGGATTATAACAGAAGTGCAGAAATATTCCCGAGTCGAAATTTAGCACCTATATTGAACCTTAATCTTTTATTTTGAGGTAAGCATAAGAGAGTCAAAGTAGATGTTATGCATTGTATCGTATGTATATAATAGCACCTACTTTGGCGCTACAATATGTCCGAAATTTCCTTTTTTCCTGCTAAAGCTTCAAAGTAGGGTTTAGTTAAAACCCTCCGTTGACCCGCTTTAGACCCTGAAAATATATAGATTCCTTTTTGCCAGCACTACTTTTATGATATTATCAAGAAATTCTAATGATTGCAAATGTTCACAATAAAGAAAAATACTAACTATAATTTTGATTAACGATAATTTTTAATAGCATACAATTTAAAAATATCATTAATCAATACCATTTAGTTGAATTTTATTATCTTTTGAAAATTTGTAATTATTAGAAATTTCTTGATAATATCAAAATATAATATCAAAATTCAACTATTGAGTATTAATTTCTAATATTTTTAAAAATTCTATGTTATTAAAAATTATCATCAATTAAAATTATATAGTTAGTAATTTTTTTTATTATTGTGAAGATTTTTGCAATCATTAGAATTTCTTGATAATATCATAAAACTAGTGCTGAAAATCCATATACCTTTGTGATTATATTAAAAATCTTAAATTAAGATATTAAATATAAAATAAGATACTAAAAACATTACATAATATTTATTGAATTAAATATTATTTATTAAGTATATGTAATACATATAGTTAAGAGTATATTATTAAGCATAGTTAACATGCGTTAAAACAAGTTCAGACAGAAATATTTATACAGAAAAAGGTCCAAATTAAGACTGAAACGTTTGATAATATTGTATCACTTAATAAAGCAATAATCAAAATACAACCATATTATGCATATTGCTCGTATAGTTTTTCATTCTTATTTGAATTTTAACGAGTACATCTAAAATAGTTAACATTTAATAAAAAAATTAATTAAAAAAAATTTTTTTGCGCTGAATCTTTTTCAGATATCATATCACTATTTTGAAGAAGGAAACGGAAAGGTATCAATATTAATAAAAGTTGGAAATGCAACGAATTAAATATTTTTCTTTATGATTAAACATTATAATAACTTTTATAGGTCGAATTTATCTAGTATATATATATATACTAGATAAAAGTTCGAGGTTTAATGGAGGAGTTCTCGCAGTAATACAATCTATTTTGTGAGGCTCTATAGGTTTAAAGTAGTATTTCAACATCAAATTATAGGAGATCAAGTTTTAAAAGAGGAGTTCTTGGTTCTAATTCCGTAAAAATAGGTTCATATAGGCTGTATGAGCATTAAAAGAGACGCTAAATTTCGACTCGGGTTTACGTTCATCGAAACTAATGCGCGTTAAATGAACCGTCAATTTAAACTGCAAAAAGAAAATGTGAACTTTGATAATGATATTCCACATGCTGAAGTGTGATTAAAGTTTAAATGTTACTCTCTTCCTTCCTCTTTTAGGAAAGCAATGTCGATCTTTATCAGCTCGTTAATCGCGATAGTTAAAAAGACCGGTTTACAAGTGGTCTTTAACCTGGAATAGTTACATCAACGGTAATACATATAGGCCGGTTATATAATATAACATAATTGTTCTTTATCAATTTATGACGTCACGATGTATGATAAAATCGACAAACACACACACACATACAGCGTTTGGTTATAATATATTCCATATATTATTTCAATTTTCGCAAATCATATGCAACCTTATATTATTTTTGAACTAAAATTAAATATTTAACTGATTAAATAATTTAATATATGATACAAGAATAATGAAGTTATTTGTTGATAATTACAAATTTGTTAATAATTTAAAATAATATTTAAATTGCCTGAAAATAAGATTTATATTGTTTATTTGTATTTTAATTCTTATTTGACAAACACACACCTTAATTGTATGATTAACGAACAATTCAATTTGATATGCTTTGCGAAATTAATGAAATAGACGCATAAGACGAGGTATGGTAAAAAGCACAATTGTGCCCTGATATTCTCCATCCCTTTTGCGGCAAGTTGCGATTTCACGAGTTTCCGGTCGTGGGTGAACAAGATTGACATCCTGTCGAGAGACTCGTTTAAATTTGAATATCATCAATCGTTCTCACGTTTTCCCCCGATCGTTTTCACTCTCTACGTGTCTATAAGTCGCTTCCCAATAATTTACAGATTGAGCGATACGAAGATTTAAGAGTATTCTTACACTTCCTTTCTTCTACAAATTTCTCGCTAAATTAAAATCTTCTTTTATGCTCAGAATTTTTATCAACATTTTGCGAAACAATTATGATTTTTAAATAATTTTTAAAATTTATAAGATTTTGTATTTGAAAAAATATAAATTTTAATAATTTTATATAACTATGAAAGATTAGTTAATATTTTAATTATACTGAAACGTATATTATTCTGCTAATTAATGTCATGCTTGTGTTGGAATACTTGAATAATTAATTAATTATGCTAACAACATAAATTTATATATTATGTCGCATATTTATTAATTTGACAATTAATTTGATAAATAATTTGATTATTTCAATAAAATATCGATTTTATCTTATCGTGCATACGTCAGAGCGCTGTATATAGTATAGAATGCCTTCCGTAAGTTGCATATAAAACTGCATGGCTCGATGTTTTTAACAACAAGCATTGACGTGATTCATTTAACCTTTACACGCGCCCACATTTTTTCACGGAAAGCGAGAGAGCGAAATTAATAATGCCAAGCGATTATCCCGATGATCGTCCGGCCAAAAGCATCGTTAAAGTAAATCATTTCCGCATTTTGCATCACTTACGACGGCATCGTGCAATAAAACTTCAACAATGATGCCCTCGCGCGATTATTCCGCGCAAATTTTTACGACGCGATGTTCGTAGCTGCGTAAGTCTCAGTTGCAGAAAGTTTGAGAAAAAAATTGCGAGTCGGACTGACAGTTGAATCCGCAATGCTAAAGTTATTCATACAGAAGATGTAAATTTTTTTACAGATCAAAATCTTGGTCAATTTATTTTGTCCGCTTTCTACGCGAAAGACGTTCCAGTTATTAAATGCTCTACCTTTTATATTGCGGCCAACGAGACGCCGGTCTCGTAATAAATGCGAAGAAAGTCGCGAATGTTAATGACGGCCGAGTTAAAACAATCTCTGTTGCGACTTTGATTACGGGAACTGTAACTGTTGTTTATCCGTGAAAATAAATTTAATTAATTCCCCGAATTAAAATCATTATTTAAATTAAATTCATTAATTTTTTAAAATTGTATTTATTTTTTTTTGTAAGGCAACATTCAACCTGCGTATAAGATAAATCAAAATAAAGAATGGCAACAGACGTCATTGCATTCTAAACGCATTTGAAATTTTAACGAATGCAGCTAATCGTAAGAGAAAATGCAATTAGCACAGCTTTACTAAATTTTTTTTAGCTTTATACATTTATAATTACGTCACATTTTTCCGAATCTTACCAGACAAAATTGCAATTTATAGCTCTATTAAAATTGTAATTTAATATATAGTTTAGTTTTAGCGATTGCTAGTGATACTATATTATTTACTACATTGCATCAACTTGAACCCACATCATGACAAGCACTTATTACTTATTGTGCAGAATCATCAAGTTACAAAGATGCAGCGAATTTCGTTAAAACTTGTGCCATTTTCCGTCTCATCGTAACAGTTTCCTTGAGTTGCAAAATAGATAGACTTCCGTAAACAGTCTGCAACGCGAGGCGGTCGAAGAAATCTCTACCAACTTTTCCGGCGAATTCATTTGATAATCAGTACTCGTTCGCCACTAATGATGTTGTCCCGAATTTCCTTCTTTTTTTCCTTATGACTTCATGCAACCGCAATCAGTGATTAGATTGCATGTGCGCTATTCTGATTAACTAGAAGTTACGGCCTGCAACGAGTTTAGCTGGGCGTCTCATTGACTAGCATCATCACGGTAATTTATTGGCGGGTGAATCGCTTAAAAATCCCACTTCAAGTAGCGAAAGGAGGTCGTGGAAAAATTTGCCAGTCAGCAGAATAGATTACTCACACTTTATATTAATTCACATATGCCTACTGCATCTCAAATTAATAATTTTACTCTCAAGAAATTTTTAGTTCCAAATACTGCGACAATTATGTGCGCGGAGAGTTCAGCTTTAAAAAAATATTCTATTGAAATATAAACTCATACTGGAATTGAATAAAGAATAATTTAATTGCAGAAAGCTTTTGTTTTATCAAATTTCAATTTTATTAACAATTCACTCGTGTTTAAATGAAAAATGTTTCTAGGGCATTTGAGATAGAAAAAAATGTGCAATAAAATTTTGAATTAATTGTCAATATTTGTTGCAGATTCGATGATGGACACGACGGCTATCTCGATCTCTCCGAACTGAAACGAATGATGGAGGTTTTGGGCGCACCACAAACACATCTTGGACTCAAGGCGATGATCCAAGAGGTCGACGAGGACGGCGACGGCCGCATATCTTTCCGTGAGGTTGGTTTATTTTTACGAGCTCCGGGAGATTACTGATATCCCGAATTAAACAGTACAAATGAACTTTTTAATGCAATAATAATACAAGTTATTATTATTGTTTCGAGAAACGAGAAAAACATGTATAAAATCGGATAATATAAAATACAAATAATTTATTAATAGATTAAAATTAATTGTCTATGACAGAATAAATATTGATTAATTTTTACCAATTATTATTTTATTTATATCATAGTTTGATGATGAATTTTTTAATGCATTTTTAAGAGGATATTAATAATATTCGAAAATGTATTTTACTGTAGACAAATATGTTGAAATGGTTTGAAAATGATTTCTGTAAAGTTGAAAAAATTATGAATTTTATTTTTTTTAATTTAAAAAATGGAGAGCCAACTTCACAGAGACTTAAAAATGCATTGCGTTAGTTAGCGTATTTCGTGTTATCGACTTCGAATGGTTGGTGTAAACACAACCGTTAATTTCTATGGCCACCCTGATCAGCATAGTGCCTCTTGCAACTCTGCCTACGGTCGTTAAAAGTATTGAACCGAAATAGATTTCACTGTGTGAGCATTTCTGTGCGGAACTGCGGAGCTACCGAGAAACGCGTGGATATTGCATAATTCCAAGAAGTATCATAATTAAAACATAGTACCTTCTCTAATGTCAGTAACTCATTTTACTAAAAATTCACAGAAAATTTATTTTATATTTTAAAGAATTATTGTTTTTACTTTTAAATCTCTCTACACGTTATTCATTCTTAGAGAAGATTTACAATATTTAATAATTTTATAAAAAAGACTCAAAATTATGTCTCTGTAAAATTTTTTGTTTTTCCTCATATTTTGACTCTCTCTCGTTTTCTTTCTTTTATAAAACATTAAATAATACCTATAATTTTTACTTACAGACTTATTTGTCAATACGCACATGTGATACTTTATTCGTAAAAATAGTAGACCCCATGCAATGTTTAACATACGTCTCACTCGCCGGGTATGCGATCCAGTTTATTTTCCAAGCTGTGCGTCAGAGAATGTGTGAAGTAGTTCTATTTCGGTCGTCTACATGACGGAGTATTTTAAAAATTGCCAAAAAGAGAGATTACTCCCGCTACAAAATATATGTGAAAATTTTCCTATTAAAAACAAACAAAAAATTTATAATTTAAAAAATTGGTCATATCGCAATACGTCTCATAAATGGAAAGTATGCATTTGCACAAGAAAGTTTAATCAGTCTGCCAATATTGTCAACATTTTGCTTACTGAATAGTACGAATGTGTATCATTATAACGATTATTTCTTTTCTTACAACATCCAAAAGTGTATCAAAAATATAAAAAGTGAAAAAAAGAAATACCAAACCGATTCTGGCAACGACGATTGCATACGGGATCAATTGCGTCTAGCCGATGATTTTGTAACACGCCCGCAGAATACCGGAGCGTGTGAAACATCAGAAACTTTCGCTGTTAACGCAAGCCCGCGTGCAGCTCGATGTAACACGCGTAAAGCCGCGATACGCACTCGCGAGGAAAATCGCCGCGTATTAGCATCACGTACATACTGCTCAAAAGAGAGTTGAACTTAATACGAAATGCACGCTCGGACAATCGGACGTGACATTCCGTATTTCGCAAACAAAGCCGGCACGCGAATCGATTCGAATACGCGATGTATTGCCCACGCGATTTGTCCCGCTTGTCGATCGCCGCTGTGATTCATTGCACGATACTCGAGCAATTTGCCCGGCTTACTCACCTTCCTCTTACTCATCGCGGTATGAATTACCGTAAAACGATCGTGACACGTATTCCTCCTTTTCGGCACGCGTTGCATTCATCAAATGTCGCAGTCTTTTATATTTTCAATGCGTTAATTTTTTTCAATCTTTTATTTTTTTTATTTTTATTTCTTGCTTCTAACATATTGATTATGAAAAATGTTTAATTGAAGAAAAAACAAATTTTAGTGTCAAACTGTAAAAGCACAAAGTAATAATTAACCCAGTCTTTTTCTAGGTTTTTTGTAAATGTAGGATGAAAAATTTGTGTATTTTGCGCGAAAATTTATTTTGTACAAATTATTGTATATTTATTAGGTCCTTGAATAAGTTCTCGCTGTTTCTTAAAAGATGGCGTAGCGGCACTCTGTGCATGGAATTTCGTACGGAAACGCATCAGCTAAGTAGTACTATATGTAACCTCAAATTCTAGTAGATACAGTTTACCACAGTGTCAACCACGTGTTTAATTACCTATTGCGAAAATGTCTACTTTTGTGCCAAATAAAGTGTTTTTGCGGGGAATTTTATTGCACTGCTTTATTCAAAAGAAATCTGCAGCTGAAGCACACAGAATTCTTGTTGAAACATATGGTGACAATGCTCTGTCGAATACGACATGCAGAGACTGGTTTAGGCGCTTTAAAAATAATGACTTTGACCTTGAAGATAAAGAACGTTCTGGAGCACCGACAAAGTTTGAAGACGAAGAATTGGAGGTAATGAAACTATCACGGGAGCTCGCTATCGACTTCAGATGATGCGTTTGAGTCGAGCTCTAAAAGAAAAGCGGCCACTATACGGGCAGAGACACGACAAAGTCATTTTGTTACATGACAATGCTCGGCCACATGTGGCAAAACCAGTCAAAACTTACCTGGAAACGCTTCAATGGGAAGTTCTACCTCACCCGCTGTATTCACCGGACATAGCCCCCTCGGATTACCACTTGTTTCGGTCGATGGCGCATGGTTTGAGCGAGCAGCGCTTCCATTCTTTCGAAGAAACCGAAAAATGGGTCGATTCATGGATTGCGTCAAAAGATAAATCGTTTTTTCGACGGGGGATTCAATTACTGCCAGAAAGATGGGAGAAAGTGGTCTCTAATGATGGACAATACTTTGAGTAAAGTTATTGTAAGCCTTATATTTTAAATTAATGTTTTTTTTAACAAAAAAAACACCGAGAACTTATTCAAGGTCCTAATATATAGGTGTATCTATTTATGTATGGACAAATTCGGTATATAATTTTGTATAATTATATATGTACTATTTTTGTCTAATTATGTATGAGAAATTTTTTACCGGGACAGTTTCATCGTTTCTAATGTTTTTACGATGTTTCAATAATGCTTCAAGAGCTCTTTTTAGACCAAAATGATAATAATTGCCTCCACTTATAGGCACAATATTTGTCGTTCTAGGCGTTTGTAATAAACTTCTGCTATCTTTTGGAAAGTTACAACTTGTATGCTTATTTAAGATAGGTAATAGTGCATTAATGGCATTATGAGGAATTCTAAATTTAATGGCCCATTCTTGAATTTCGCGTTTGAATTCGATTTTATTATCTAAAAGAATTCTATCGAAGTTTGTAGACAAAGAATTATTCAAGCTATTTGAATTGCCTTCGCTATAACTTTTATCATTGTTACTGCTCATTGTCATATCATTGTTATTATCGTCACTAATGTTAAGTACTACTTTATGATTGCCATCACATTGAACCGATTCATTAAACGTTTTTCCTCCAACTAAATAGCATTTCTCTCTCTAAATATAAGTAATAAAA